CCATCCTGGTCAACAAGGTGAAACCCCGTCTCTACTGAAAATACAAAAATTAGCTGGGCATGGTGGTGCGCGCCTGTAGTCCCAGCTACTCGGGAGGCTGAGGCAGGAGAATTGCTTGAACCCAGGAGGCGGAGGTTGTGGTAAGCCAAGATCGTGCCATTGCACTCCAGCCTGGGTAACAACAGCGAAACTCCATCTCAAAAAAAAAAAAAAAAAAGGCTAGTCAGGAAAGATATCTCTGAGGAGAACTGATATGCCACAATGGTGGGGGAATGTGTAGGGGGAGACTTGGCTTTATAGAGCAATCTCTTTTTGATAGAATTTTTAGTTACTTGAACTTACTACCAAAAAATAATGTGAGAAAGCTTGGATGCGATTTGGAAGTGGAGGCTTCTCTAGTTCAGAGCTATAAGCCAGAGAGTGGCACCAGATGGACTCTCCTGTCCCGTGCCAGTCACCTTCATGTCACAGTTAGGACTTTGGGCTTGGCTTTCTTTCCAGCTACCACTTCAACTTTCATCCCTGATGTTGATGCAGATTCTCCCATCATATTGACTCTTCAGGCTGTACTGAGTAAGTGTCCTCCTTTCTAACTTGGAAGAGGCTCCTCATTGCCCTGCCCTAGGATAACCATGTGCTTTATCGTTTAAATTGATACTTCTGAGAGCAGATGGGGCACTATCAATAATTATGCTGAGACAATAGGTGTAAACTGAGACCATCCTCTGCAATCTAGATGATTGGTCACTGTAGGCATGTGGTCATTGGCTGAGCTAGCTCCAGCATACAAGTGGAACCAAGACTCCCCTCCCAGCTAAACTTCTGGTCTGGAGACTGGGAAGTTGGCTCCTTGTATGGTACATCCACAAGTCAAAAGAGAGGTCATCAGGCCAGGTAGGGTGGCTCAAGCCTATAATCCCAGCATTAGGGAGGCCGAGGTGGGCAGGTCACCTGAAGTCAGGAGTTCAAGACCAGCCTGGCCAACATGGTGAAACCCCATCTCTACTAAAAATACAAAAATCAGCCAGGTATGGTAGCAGATGCCTGTAATCCCAGCTATTCAGGAGGCTGAGGCAGGAGAATCTCTTGAACCCAGGAGGTGGAGGTTGCAGTGAGCCGAGAACACGTCACTTGACTACAGCCTGGGTGACAAGAGCAAGGCTCTGTCTCAAAAAAAAAAAAAAGAGAGAGTTTGGCCGGGTGCGGTGGCTCACGCCTGTAATCCCAGCACTTTGGGAGACCGAGGCAGGTGGATCATGAGGTCAGGAGTTCAAGATCAGCCTGAACAACATAGTGAAACCCTGTCTCTAAAAAAAAAAGAGAGAGAGAGAGAGAGAGTTCATCAGATGTTAGTTACTTGTCTTGTTGCCCTACCCTCAGGCCTGATTTTCTATTTTATATCTTGGAGGTTGCTCCAGTCCCATCCCAGAACATGCTTGCACTAGTTTCTGTTCTTCTTCTGAAAATGGACTGGGACTTCCTAAACTCATTTTCTTAGCTGCTTTAGGCTGCTGCCAAGGATGAGATGTAGACTTTCTTCCATGTCCAGGTCTAGGAAAGCTATCTCCAGCCCTAGACACTTTTGCATAGGCCTTACCAGGCCTGGATATTTACGTCCTTGGAGCCAAGATGGAATCAGAGGAGCCAGAATCAAACTGATCACCTTTCCAGTCCCTTGTGAGAGTGCCTGGATGTAATCCAGAAAAACTGTTCATTGCCGCTTCTTTGTAAAGTTATATACTCACATCCTTAAAAAAATTAAAGGAACATGATAAACACCCATGATTTTTTAAAGAAAATGTTATACATATTGAAATTAGACCACACAATTTGGTGGAAGTAACAGCCAAAAACCTTCTATGATGGAATTCTACTGAATTATTTTTATCACAATAATAACAATGACATGATATCTTACTGGATTCGAATGTAGTTTGTAGTATAGGTCCACAGTCCCTTAGTCTGAAATCCTAAAGAGCTCTGAAAAGTAGAAAAAAAAAAAATACCAGTTTGTCCCAAGCTTATTTAACGGCAAAACCTGATTTGAATCAGCATGAAGCTTATAGTCTTTATTTATCCTATTTACTGTGAGTATTAATGTTTTGTTGCATAAATACTAGTAGGTTTTATTCCTTTCCCAAACTCCCAAACTCCAAAAGACGGTAGTATATAATACATGGTACATAAGCCATATTACGTATCCGAACACTTCTGACCCAAAAGGTTTCTCTGAGAAAGGATTTTGATTCTACAGTACCGCTTGGCCTATTACTTGTTTTTCAATTAATAATCTCCGCAAATTAGATAAGCATAACCTCAAATAATTTGCTATTGCTTCTGTCCAGTTTATAGTTTGGGAACTACTCAGTATTAATTTCTAGTTCAATATTTAGTACCTTAAGCCTTTGGAAGGGAAAAAAACATTGATTTGATAAAAGATTGATAAATAAATAAAAATAGTGAATACATATTGAGCCCAGATCTCCCATTATATCCTGGCATGCCATGAAGAGAGGAGAAAATACTCTTCGCCATCGTATGAAGAAGCCGGGTGGTCACACGTTTCCATTTTCACTTTGTGCTGAGTCTGTAAGAATTGCACTTGTGTCCTCTTGGAGCATAATAGAACCCTCCAAATGCAATATCACACCTTTTTCTGAGTGCAAAAAAGTAGTTATATGCTTTTCACTAGTTTACAAAAAAGCTTTTCTATTCTTCTTTTCTCAAGGAACATATTGTTTCTCAAGGCCAAAGGGAGAGGAAGAATGTATTAAATATTCAGTTCTTTACTTTCTGACTTAACTGTGTGGTAGCCAGTCTCCAAGAAATCCCTCAATGATTCCAGTGTAGCCCCTTCCATATCAAATAGGGTTGACCTGTGTAACTAATATCAAACTATCAGAAATATCAAAATGTGACTTCAGAGGTCAGGTCATAAAAGACATTACAGTTTCTGCCTTGCCCTCTCTCAGAGCACTTACTTTTGAGAGACTGGCTGTTGTGGAATGAGAACACTTAAGGAGCCCTATGGAAAGATCCATTTGGCAAGGAACTAAGGATACCAACCCACAATCAGCACTAAATGGCCAGCCATATGAGTGAGCCACCTTGGAAGTGGATTCTTCTGCCTCAGTCAAGCCTTCTGATGACCGCAGCCCAGCCACCCACTTGATTTCAAATTCATCAGTCACTGTAAGCCAGAATAACCCAACTAAGCCACTCCTGGGTTCCTGACCCATAGAAACTGGGAGAAACAGAATATACTCGTGGTTTAAACTGCTAAGTTTGGAGGTAGTTGTTACACAGAAATAGGTAACCACTATACCTGGAACTTTGATTCAAGGAAAATACATTGGTTTCTCTTGATTATGAAGATAATATTACTTTCTTGTTGCAAATTTCAAACATATTCAAAGATATTCTGACCTGAAAAATGAAAATATCCTATAATATCATCCTCTCTATAATTTGTGGCCTGTAGTTCCAGTTCTAGATTTTTTTCTTTTTCTTTCTTTCTTTCTTTTTTTTTTTTTTTTTTTGAGACAGACTCTTGCTCTATAGCCCAGGATAGGGTGCAGTGGCATTATCTCTGCTTTTTGTAAACTCTGCCTCCAACATTCAGCAGTTCTCCCACTTCAGCCTCCCAAATAACTAAGACTACAGGCACTCGACTAATTTTTGTATTTTTGGTAGAGAATGGGATTTCACCATGTTGGCCAGGCTGGTCTTGAACTCCTGACCTCAGATGATCCACCCACCTGGGTCTCCCAAAGTTCTGGGATTACAGGTTTGAACCACCATGCCCAGCCCAGTTCCAGATTTTTAAAATACAAATACTAATGCATGAGCCAGGTGTGGTGGCTCATCCTTGTAATTTGGGAGGCCAAGGTGGGTAGATCACTTGAACACAGAAGTTCGAGACCAGACTGGGCAACATGGCGAAACCTGTCTAAACAAAACAATTAGCTGGATGTGGTGGCCCACACCTGTGGTTCCAGCTACTTGGGAGGCTGAGGTGGGAGGATCACCTGAGCCCAGGGAGGTCAAGGCTGCAGTGAGCTGTGATTGCACCATGCACTCCAGCCTGGGCAACAGAGTGACACCTTGTCTCAAAAGAAACCAAACAAACAAATACTAATGTGTGTATGTATGCATGTGAGTATTTTGTTAATTGATGCTGGATTATATTAAACATGCTGTTTTCCAACTTGCATGATTCACATAATGTGTCTTGGGATATCTTCCATATGATTTCAAATAGTTCTATGTCATTTGTTAATATCTCCATATATTTTACTGTATGCACTTCTCCATTCCCTACTGGAGAACATTTGATCTAGTTTCAGTTTCCACAAATACAAACAATGACATAGTGGGGTAATCTGTGGAATATATTTCCAGAAGCAGAAATGCTGGATCAAAGGGAAACGCATTTAAAGTTCTGATAGCTATTTCCAGATTGCCCTCCCAAAAAGTTGTACCCATGTATTTACCCAGGGAATGTGAATGTCTGTTTCCCTACACTCTCAACAACACATCCATTGTCATTGCCAACTAGGTTGGTGAAAATGACTTGTTTTCTGTTGTGCTTAATTGTTAGCCATCTTTTTGTAGTTTATCATTATTTGTATTTCTTCTGTTTGGAGTTATCTTTCCATCTTTGCCTATCTTGATACTAGGTTACCTGTCTTATATATTGACTGGTAAGAACTCTTTGTATATGAGCAGGTTAAATTATTTGCCTGAAACATACTTTATAGAAACTTCCCCCAACTTATTGTTGAAACTGACTTGAACATTTTTTGAATCATAGGAACTTCTTTGTCATGTGTGATCCTATCTGATGTGTTATATAAAGCATGAGATAGGCTTTACAACTCTAATTTAAAAATGGTTAAAATGAAAATTTAAAATAAGCAAGAAAGCACTTCAATTTCTACAGCTGTTAACTGCAGATATCAGTGACTCCATTGATTTGGATTCCTTCTCTTTCATTCTAGTATACCAAATACTACATTCACCGAATTCCAAGAAGCCGTGAGGTTCAGCAGTCCTGGCCCTCCACGGTGTTTACCACCTTGCACTCCATGAGGCTCTCCCTCCCTCTGATTCACCAGCTGAAGCCAGATTTGGTAAGTAAGACCATCACTAAGGAGAGGGAAAGTAACTCCCTGTAGATCCTTCCTTAGTAACAGGACATACTGTTTTCTTAAACAGTTACCATTTATCAGTGTGCCAAGTAGTACGCAAGACCCGAACTGGCTGGTGCCTTGATCTTGGAATTCCCAGGCTCCAGAACTGTAAGAAATAAATATCAGTTCTTTTTTCTGAGATGTAGTCTCACTCTGTCACCCAGGCAGGAGTGCAGTGGCGCAAGCTTGGCTCACTGCAACCTCCACCTCCCTGGTTCAAGCAATTCCCCTGCCTCAGCCTCCTGAGTAGCTGGGATTATAGGCACCCACCACCACGCCTGGCTCATTTACAGGTATGAGCCACCACACCCAGCCTGTGACCAGTAATCTTTGATGTTATTGTTGTAACTGTTTGGGGATACTGTGAACTTAGTAAGACTTACTCAGTAAATGTATGTGTTCTCACTGCTCCAACAACCTGCCATCCCGTCTTTCTCTCTCTCTCCCCTTGGGTTTCCATCTCTGTGAGACACAACAACATTGAAATTAGGCCAGTTGATAACCCTGCAGTGGCCTCTCAGTGTTCAAGTGAAAGGTAGTGTTTCACATGTTTTGCATTTTAAATCAAAAGCTAGAAATGACTAAACTTAGTGAGGGAGGCATTTGCAACAGGCTGTTAGCCAAGTTGTGAATGCAAAGGAAAAGTTCTTGAAGGAAATTAAAAGTGCTGTTCCAGTGAACACACCGGTTTCGTGATAAGTACATGAAATAGCCTCATTGTGTTGATATGGAAAAAGTTTGAGTGATCTGCATGTAAGACCAAACCAGCAACATTCCCTTAAGCCAAAACCTAATTCAGGACAAGGTCCTAATTCTCTTTAAGTCAGTAGAGACTGAGAAAGGTGAGGAAGATGTAGAAGAAAAGTTTGAAGGTAGCAAAGGAGATTGGTTAAGGCTTAAGGAGAGAAGCCTTCTCTATAGCATAAAAGTGCCAGGTGGAGCAGCAGGAGCCGATGTAGAAGCTGCAGCAGTTCATGCAGCAGATCTAGCTAAGATAATTGACTAAAATGGCTACACTAATCACCATATTTTGCATATAGACAAAACAGCCTTAGATTCAAAGATGTCATTCAGGACTGTCATGGCTACAGAGGAGAAGTCAATACCTGGCTTCAAAGCTTCAATGGACACAGCTGAATCTCTTGTTAGGGGCTAATGTAGTTGGTGACTTTAAGTTGAAGCCAGTGCTCATTTACTATTCTGAAAATCCTTGGGCCCTTAAGAATTATGCTAATTCTATTCTGCCTGTGCTCTGTAAATGAAACAACACAGCCTAGGTGACAGCACATGTGTTTACAGCATGGTTTATTGAATGTTTTAAACTCACTATTGAGACCTACTAGTCAGAGACAAAGTTTCCTTTCAAAATATTTTTCCTCTTGACATTTTTGGGCTGGATGATTTTTATTTTTAAAAATACAATATATTACTGCTCATTGACGATGCACCTAATTACCCAACAGCTCCAATGGAGGTGTACAAGGAGATTAATGTTTTCATGCCTGCTAACACAGCATCCATTCTGCAGCTCATAAATCAAGGAGTAATTTTGACTTGCAAGTTTCATTATTTAAGAAAACATTTGTAAGGCTATAGCTGCCATAGATAGTGACTCCTCTGATGGATCTGGACAAAGTCGATTGAAAACCTTCTGGAAAAGATTCACCATTCTAGATGCCATTAAGAACATTCTTGATTTATGGGAAGATGTCAAAAAACAGGAGTTTGGAATAAGTATACTCCAACCCTCCTGCATGACTTTGAGAGGTTCAAGACTCAAGTGGAAGAAGTAATTGCAGAGATGATGGAAATAGCAACAGAGCAAGAATTAGAAGTAGAGCCTGAAGATGTGACTGAATACCTGCAATCTCATGATGAAACCTGACTAGGACCCTACTCTGTGACAGGATTTATACTGTGCACTCGAGGTATAAAAGTAAACACAGGCCGGGCGCGGTGGCTCGTGCCTGTAATCCCAGCACTTTGGGAGGCCGAGGTGGGCGGATCATGAGGTCAAGAGATTGAGACTGTCCTGGCCAACATGATGAAACCCTGTCTTTTACTAAAAAATACAAAAATTAGCTGGGCATGGTGGCACGTGCCTGTAGTCCCAGCTACTCAGGAGGCTGAGTCAGAAAATTGCTTGAACCCAGGAGGCAGAGGTTGCAGTGAGCCGAGATCGTGACACTGCACTCCAGCCTGGCACCTGGCAACAGGGCGAGACTCTGTCTCAAAAAAAAAGTAAACACAGCTCTGCTTCTAAGTGGTCTGAGGTGATCTGTGAAAATGGCTCACTATTCACTTGACCCAGAAAATCCCATAAAAGTCATGCAAATCAAGAAGTTAAAGTCTTATGTTCCCTTTAAGAACATCCATGAAATTGCCCATGCCAGAGAGACCTACGTAGCCAAGGTTATGTTGCTTGTCAGTGTAGCAGAACTCCAATTTTCTTAGAAATGTAGATTCTGCCGGTATTAGCTACCTTGCTCAATTAAAAAGTTATCTAGTATTTTTGAAAAATATCTTTAATGCAGCAGGTTCTAAAAGGGACGAATAAAACAGCTCCTCAGGAAGCATATACTTTAGCTTCAGGGAAAATGGAGTAAAGAAATAACAAGTAGACTTGAAATACAGATTAATTCCACAGAAAATAAAGACCCTATTTAAGTTAGAAATCATACTTCCTCTCTGCAGCATACATTAAAGTACTTTTAGCCTGTTCTAGTATTCAAGATTCTCTTTATTAAAAATATATATATATATTTAGAGATGGGGTCTCACTGTGTTGCCCAGGCTGGTCTCGAACACCTGGGCTCAAGCCATCCTCCCACCTCAGCCTCTCAAAGTGCTGGGGTTACAAGCATGAGCCATCGTGCTCAACCTCTAGTTTCTTAAGATTGCAACTTAGGTTGTTTATTTAAGATATTTCTTCTTTTCTAATACAAGCATTTAATGTTCTACGTTTTCCTCTCAGCAACTGCTTTCGTTTCCTCCTACAAATGTTGATATATTGCACTTTCATTCAGTTCTAAGTATTTTTATGTTCTTCGAGACTTCATCTTTGACCCATGGATTATATACAGTGTTTTGTTTAATTTCCAAGTGTTGGGAGATTTTCCCTATTATCTTTCTGTTATTGGTTTCCAGTTCAATTTCACTATGATCAGAGAACATACTCTATTTTAAAATACATTGAGTTTTTTTCATCCAGGATATGGTTTGTCTTGTTGAGTATTCCTTGGGCATTTGAAAAGAATGTGCATATAATAGTCTATGAGATCCTGTGACTGATGATGCTGTTGAGTTTTTCTATATCTGCTGTTTTTCTAATGATTCTGTTGATTGCTCAAAGAGTCATGGAACACTTTGTTAACCCTTCTAAAACTATGTCTAAATAGTCTGACTGATCTCAGCCCTACATAATCTCTTCTATGTTCTTCTGCTAATGTAAAATACATATTGATCCCACATTAAAATGAATTTTAAATATTCTGTTTGCTGGTACTCTTTTGTATCTTGAAGCCTGCGGATATTTTCACTATTGTGTCTTTAGTTTTTTTCTAAAAGTAGGAGTCTCTGAGTCAGTCTTAGAGTGAGTAGGCTAGTCTCATATTCTCTTGAAAATATACTCCTGAAAAGGAATTGGTTTGTTTCAAAGAGAGGAAGAGAAAATTTAATTTGTGAGATTGCTGATTATTAAAGTAAGAGGACCGCTTATTTGGGGGGAAAAAGATCTATAAAGTTCTCCAGGGTAAAGTCCAAGTATTTTTGCGTTTTCCATGGTCCCTTTCTAGAAAAGCTTCCACATATTTGTGGAATGACTTAAAAATAAATGAATGAATACTGGATAAAGTGAGTCATCACAAAAACAAAGACGCCCACTTCCTACACTGGTGCTCTTCTCAGGCTTTATTAAGAGTCTGAAAACCCAGGAGGGCTTCCAAAGTCTGCAGTGTTTGATTACTGGCTTCATTCCACCCTGGCCATTGTCAAATAACTCAAGGAAAGAGCTCTCCATACAAAAATGAAACCTAATTTAATTTTTAATCAAGTAAAAAATAAATTTAAGATTCTCTATGTATAACAAATTGAAAAGAAATAGACCATTTCAGCCTAATACTCTGCCTCTTTGCCTGAAGCTGGTTTAATTCACCATGACAAATTTAGATGTACTTATTACATCTACACTCACTCACGCTTTGCATGAAAGAAGGCCATTATTTTATTTAGTCATTTTTTTCCATGTTTCATACCCAGTTTGAGCTGTGAAATGTCTAAGTTCATAGCAGTAGAAAGTTGACAGCCGGGTGTGGAGGCTCACACCTGTAATCCCCGTACTTTGGAAGGCTGAGGCGGGCAGATCACTTAAGGTCAGGAGTTCCAGACCAGGCTGGCCAACATGGTGAAACCCTCTCTCTACTAAAACTACAAAAATTATCCGGGCATAGTGCTGTGTGCCTGTAATCACAGCTACTCAGGAGACTGAGGCAGGAGAATTGCTTGATCCCAGGAGGCAGAGGTTACAGTGAGCTGAGGTCACTGCACCCCAGCCTGGGAATAGAGCAAAAATCCATCTAAAAAAAAAAAAAAGTTGGTAACATGGATGTTGGGTTATTGTCTGTAAGTAGGATACTGTGATTTTTTTTTATGAGGTATTTTCTGTCGTGAGCCACAAACTAGGTGACACCAAGATTATCACTGTTTGTATAGTACATAAAATTTTTATTAGCCTACTAATTAACATGTATTTGAAATATTAAGAAGAGGCAATTAACTTCTTGTTGACATGCCAGAACCTTTACAGGAACCTTTTCTCCTTAACTGTTATATATTTGATTCTCTTTGAATAACGACCTTCATCTGGTATTATATTTTGTGGTGATCAAAAAGCTTTATAACATGTTCAATGGAAACTTGGCTATACAAAGAAAAGGTCAGCT